GGAGTAGAAAGTCCACATTTGTGTCTTCTTGGCATGGCAGATTTATTTTATGACCACGAATCATATTTTTTTTTAAGATTCATTTATTTATGCATACAGAAATGGGGTACAGGTCAGAGGTGCAGGGGCGGTGAGAGGACTCACCAGAGACAGAATGGGGAGCAGAACAGGCAGATTGACAAAGTACACTGCTGAGGGAAGCAGTGGGCGAGACAGGAGAGGTCTGCTGAGCCTTGTGGATCACCTCCCGGGCTGGGGATGGAACTGCACTGAAGTAGCTGCGGCTAGATTGCAGAGCTGCATCCTAACCCATTGCACCACCAGGGAGGGCCTGCATATTTCTTAATATGGAACACTCAGGGCTAAAATTAAGAATGGTGCCTTTGTGTGCCCAAACCACTGAGTCGACACACAAACTTTCTTGGACGTTAGTCAAAGCAACAATACTTGAGATTTTCAAAACACTTGAGAGCTTTCTTTTCAATCCACCATCTGCTAAGTTAAGACATATATTTTCAGTCTTAATTCTGAAAATCAATTGCAGTCAAAGTAATTCTGCGTTGAAGTGGCTAAACAGGTCTACACTCTGAAGATCATTCCTCTGATCCCATCTACAAGCCAGCCACCTGGTGATTTCAACTGTCTGCAAACACTCCATCCTTCCTTACCAGCAGACAGAGACATCTTCGAAACTTGGAAGGAATTCATCAATAGGAATGCTATTGGGTCCTATATCTACCCACTTGTGAGATCTGAAACTTTTTCAGTCCTGCTTATGGATAAATACTCTTTAGGAGTAAGTTTTTAGTAAAATGGGTGAGATCGCCACCTGCTGGCAACACCTGGACTTCTAATACTTGGCATATTGAACCTCAAGCTTCCTGGACTCCCTACTTTTGAATTACCTGAGACCTGCTGGCTAAAAATGAAATTTAAGGCCCTCCCTGGTGGTGTAGTGGGCTAAAGCACAGCACTATGAAGCTATCGCAGCCACTGCAGCTACAAGTTCAATCCCTTGCAAGGGAGGTGAAACACGTGGTGCAGCAGACCTGCCTGACCTGCCAGTTGCTCCCCTCCGCAGTATATTTTAGTCAGTCTGCCTGTTCTGCTCCCCACTCTGTCTCTGGTGAATCACCTCACCTCCCAAACCACTGATCTTTACTCCAGTTTTGTATGTATAAACAAATAAATCTTTTTTTAAAAAAATGAAATTTAATAGGCTCTCTAAGCTCTAGTTCATTGAATTAGAATCTTGGCAGGTGAGGCTTGAGAATTCACATTTTTAAACAAGTCCTCATATGCTTTGAGGTCTAAGAGACAAATACCTTAATTCTCCAACTTATAAGGATCAAGTGAGAATGCTTGCTTAAAATACTTTTACCTGGATCACACTCCAGGCTTCACTGATTCAGGACCTACAAGAAAGGGGAATTTGTAATAAGAATCCCTGATGAATCTTAAAAAAGGAATGTTTGATGAGTTACAAAGGTGGGGGGGAATCCCATTTACATAAAAAAAAGAAAGAGTTAAACAACTAGGAGTAAATTTAACACAGAAGTGGAAGGTCCTATACAAAGAAAACAATAAGACATTGGTAAAAGAATTATAAGGAGACATAAAGAGATGGAAAGATATTCCCTACTCATGGATTGGAAGAGTTAACCTTGTCAAAATGGCCATCTTACCCAAAGCAATATATAGAATTAATGCAATTCCTACCCAAGTTCTAAAGGCATTCTTCAAAGAAATGGAATGATCATAATGAATTAATGGCAGGAATGAACATAATGAATTAATGCAAGACCTTTCTCATGTATTTTCATTATTTTCACAGTAGGTTTTCAATAATTTTTAAGAGATATACCAAAAAGGATCCACAAACTGTAGTAAAATTTGGTCACTCTAAAGTCAAGACCATAATCTACATTTCTCATAAAAGGTTTCCATCTACATAAATAATTGAGAGTATTAACTCCCTCCCTTTCGACATAAATTCAAGGGCATTTCGTATCCAATCTTATACTTTACCCAAGTTCAAGTTTCTAAATTTTACTTCAAGTTTCCTTATGTAACTTTTGCACTGGCAGTCCCAGGTTTTTATTTGTTCACTCCATTGGGAATCCCCCCAAAATGTGCCATGGTTTCATCATGTTCTTTTCAGCATGTCCAGATACATAACAGTTGTTTTTCTCCAAAGGTTATGTTTGGGCCACGCCTGCTTTGGTTTGAAACTTTCTCTTCCTCTAATATAATCTGCATTCCTAAGATTAAATGTGTTATGACTAGGTCGCCTTAATCAAGCACACAATGTCATTTCTTTCTTTGATTCAGAGTTTTATACTTTATGTGGTTTGCCAATTTCCAAAGAGACTGAAATCAATTAGCTGGTTCATTTCTAAATATGACTTGATGTACCTTGTCCTCTCTCATGCTCTTCATCCTTTTCTTTCTCCCATCACACAAAACACAACAGATGCAATCAGGCTGACTTTGGACTTCAGTCCTTAGGTGAACTATAGAAGACTTTAGGAAATACCTGAACATGAGAGCCACAGTTTTCATCACCATGTTCTAGCGCCTCAGCCAGATGTTTCCATAAAGACTTTTCTTCTTTTTTTAAATAGAGGAACACAAAATACCTGTTTTGGTGTTTGTCTCTAAAACAGAGGCACATTTAACAAACATAGCCACACCTCCATTGCCACATCAGAAAGTAACAATGATTTCATAATAGCAAATCTTCTGACCAGCACGGGATTGCCAATGGTTTCGTAACTCAAATGTTTATTGATTACAAAAAAAAAAAAAAACAACCCTAAAATCCAAATAAATTCCACATCTTTCAACTGAGATAGAAAAATGTACAAAATAAAGAATGATGTAAAAAATAAATAAGGACAAAACCATTCCACATCTTGTGATTGGTTGGTCTTTGAAGTCTCTTTTAGTGCATTGGTTTTTTCTCCATTTCTCTTTTTCCTTGTAACGTACTTATTCACAAGATTCAGTTGTCTGTGAAGTAGATTTTTCCAAGTGTGAATGTGGCTGACAATATCCTTGTGGTGCAGTTGAACAGCCATAGGATTCTGACATTTAGCTGGTGACGCGTTTCATTTATCTTGATAATGTTTAAGTCATCAAGTAAACTGAATATGTAAGAAAATCCTATTTTCTCTTTACCAGAAACAAGTCAGATCGTTTTCCAGATAACTTCTCCATTCATTAAGATCCCTGTTGTGATTTTTTTGTTAAATGATTTTCTTTACTTTTTAAGGGGTGCACAACAAAGAGAAAAAGAGGCGGGGAACGGGGGTGGGGGGCGGTGCAGGGGAGGAGTTGGGGTATTAATTCCTACATGGCACCCACTAGAGGGCGACATTTGCCTCATTATCATACTGCCTCTAATACTTTTAAACTGCCGCAGATTTGTTTTCGCGTTTTGACAAGGTGAACCTCATTATCTGCTTTGACTTGTCCTCTCATTTCCATAAGATATAGTCACATTTTGTGTCCTCTGTTAATTTCGCCTCTGCGGTCTTGTATTTTTCATATTAGGGCCATCCTTGACTCCATTCCCCGTTATAACCAGGAGGTGGTGACATTGCATAAACAAAAAACCTGCAGAAGGTCACTATGATGTGAAACTGCCAAATAAAAAGGAGTTTCACGGGGGAAGGGGGTATTTAAGAGGAAAAGAGACAAACCAGACATTTCTAGTTCGTATCCAAGTCACGGCCCAAGGTCACTAGCGTGTAAGGTACAGTATAAAGAGGCCTCTCAGGAGCGGGGGAGGGTAACTTGGGGGAAACGCGTACACAATCTCCTCCTTGATTTCCACGAGAGGGTACAGATTCACGTTCATGCACGTGTGTGTGAAGTTGCAGGGCAGCCGCGGGACACCGTGGGCTGGGGCGGGGCTGCTGGGACCAATACCGCTCTGACTCACTGCTGTGGACCCAGGCTCTGAGACAGGTTTCCAAAGATGCTGTTCAGAGGTCAGCACTGGTATCACCCAAGGGGGAGGGGGTACAGGGCTCGCCCACGGGCACCCAGTGAGGAAGTGGGGCCTTCAGCCAGGTGTGCTGAGCGCAGGCTGAAGCTGGGGCTATTCCTCATCGTGGCATTCTTCCTGAAAACGTGCCCCCCCTACCCTCCCCCCCCCCCCAGCTTGGACATTCACACCGGACAAAAAGGATCACCTGACAGCGAACAATGTGCGCGGAGATAACAGGGAAGTCACCGACCCTTTTGAAAATGTAATACTAGAGTAATAATCGTAAACTGCGCGTGTGGTTTCAATTGGGGGGTGGGGTGAGGAGGAGACCCCAGGCCTCCTGGAGCTCGTCCACTTAGCAGCTCGCAGATTAGGAAGAAATTCCGTTGTGCAGCCAATGTAGCAACGTAAAGAAAACCAGACGGATTTGGGGAAAGAAGCAGAGAGGTCCCACCTTCCTCGAACACTAAGGGGGTTTCATCCTGGAGAGCAGGAGGGCCTTGGCAGAAAGTCCCGGAGAGAGTGGAGTCCCCTTCCCGACTCGCCGGCCCCCTCCAAGCCGGGAGCCTCGGCGCTCGGCAGCGGAGGGCTCCAAAGGGAATGCCCAAATCTGGACGGGGGATGGGGCAACGCTCAGTGGCTTTTCCTTTACGTTTTACTTTAAATCGCCAGTTCCCGAGCTTAACGTTTCGACCCCCACCCCCCTCTCCGCCCCTTTCCGGGTCTCGGCCCCCCACCTCCTGCTCCTCGCCTCTCCCTCGCCCTCGCTCTCTTCCCCCTCCTCCACTGTCCACTAAGAGGCCTCGCCGGGCCCAAGGCCTCCTGCCCCGCCTCCGCCGCCACAGGGTTTCACCCGCGGCGGACTGGAATCTGCATAGTAACCGCCCCTCTAGGAGGTCATTGGTGCAGCCCCTGCCCATCGCTGGCAGTGATTGGTGGACTGCCCCGGGTTATTTGCATGCCGGCGGCCGCCTGGTACCCAGCTGTGCAGCGGCCGGCTGGGCGCAGAAGTTTGTGAAGCGATTTCTCGCCGGCTGTTTCCCGACTCTTCAGCGCACGGTGCCGCCTGCTCGCCGGCCGCCGCCCTCGCCCCGGTCTGGATTCCGTCTCTGTGGAGGACAGACGCTCTGCCTGCGGGGCGTTGAGGTGGACGAGGGGCAGTGCCGGGAAGGGAGCCGGGGGGCTTCCACTGACAGCTACCCGTCAGGACGCCGGGCGCGTGGGGCGCCGGCTCGCCGAGAGTCTCGCCCACCTTCCCGCGGCCGCCGGGCGGGCAGGCGGGCGATGCGGCCGCCGAGCCCCGCGGCGCCCAGAGGAAGGGGGGCGCCCCGAGGAGCCTAGAGCTTGTTTCTGCTCTGTTGAGGAAAGAGGCATGGAGTTGTGAGCGCCCCTGGTTCGGCGAGGCCGCCCCCGGCAGGCTCCCCATGGCCGGGACGTACAGCTCCACTCTGAAGACGCTGGAGGACTTGACCTTGGACTCCGGGTATGGGGCCGGGGACTCGTGCCGCTCGCTCAGCCTCTCGTCCTCCAAGTCCAACTCGCAGGCGCTCAACTCTTCGGCGCAGCAGCACCGCGGGGCGGCCTGGTGGTGCTATTCCGGCTCCATGAACAGCCGCCACAACAGCTGGGACACGGTGAACACGGTGCTGCCCGAGGACCCCGAAGTGGCTGACCTCTTCTCCCGCTGCCCGCGCCTCCCCGAGCTGGAGGAGTTCCCCTGGACCGAGGGCGACGTGGCCCGGGTGCTTCGCAAAGGCGCGGGCGGGCGGCGGCTGCCGGCCTTCTCCGCCGAGGCGGTGAGGCGCCTGGCCGGGCTGCTCCGCCGGGCGCTCATCCGCGTGGCCCGCGAGGCGCAGCGCCTGAGCGTGCTGCACGCCAAGTGCACCCGCTTCGAGGTGCAGAGTGCCGTGCGCTTGGTGCACAGCTGGGCGCTGGCCGAGAGCTGCGCGCTGGCCGCCGTCAAGGCGCTGTCCCTGTACAGCATGAGCGCGGGCGACGGGCTGCGCCGGGGCAAGTCGGCGCGCTGCGGCCTCACTTTCTCCGTGGGCCGCTTCTTCCGCTGGATGGTGGACACTCGCATCTCCGTCCGCATCCACGAGTACGCGGCCATCTCGCTCACTGCCTGCATGGAGAACCTGGTGGAGGAGATCCGGGCCAGGGTGCTGGCCAGCCAGAGCCCCGACGGCGGAGGGGCCGGAGGCGGGGAGGTGTCTGCCGAGGCCCTGGAGATGGTCATCAACAACGACGCTGAGCTGTGGGGCGTCCTGCAGCCCTATGAGCATCTCATCTGCGGCAAGAACGCCAATGGTAAGTGCACCGAGGGACTCCAGGCGATGGAGTGGGAGAGAAATCCCTCCCTGGGCTACTCTGGGAGGGTACATAGGGGTGGTGGGAGCGCCGTCAACTGGGAGAAGGCATTTGGTCTGGGGGTGCAGTTCATTACATGAGTATTGGCATTAATTGTTCACCTGGCGATTGACTTTTGAAGGATAAAGTCGTGGTCGATCTACATCTTGTTCTGTTGTAGCGTTGTTTCTATCAGCTGGGGCCTGTTCACTGATTGAGTCTCTTAAGTTTTCTAGCACTCTTGTAGTCTTGGTCGATAGTTGGCGTCTTTTCTCAACAGCGGTACAGATTGACGGTGGTGATGACGCTGGATCTCTTCCTGCCCAGTGGGCATACCAGTGTCCAAACTGAGACTTGGAGACTTGGATAAGTGGGATGGGAGCAAGGGGGCCTGGGTTTGTTGGGCTGAAGGATGGCCTTCAGGTCTTCTCCTGGAAGGTGGAGGGCTAGTGGTAGGTCGTTGGGTGTACAGGAGTGATGGAAGCTGGTGGTTCCTGAATCCCCTTCCCAGGAAAAGAACCACAGCTTCCCGGGCTTTCTAAGCTGTCACCAACCAAGTGAGCAATTAAAACTATGTCGTATTAAATGTACAATCCTATGGACTTTCCTGAATAAACCGGTACCCAGGAAACCATGTGACCGGAAAGAAGTAGGGGGGTGGGAAATGACCTGGTGTCAGGTCTGGGAAAGGGGAGTTGCACTTCTCTAGAGGATGACATCGGTTCAGTGCAAAGGGTGGAAGGAAAGCATTTGACCTTCTCCCTGGTAAGGTTAGGGTGTGACATATGTTCTACAGCAAACTGCCTCCCAGACTCCAATTTCAGGAGTCAGCAAACCATAAATTATTTAAAATGGTGCTATGACTGGACAGCCTTCCAATCTGATCAGAAGGCCACTTGGGGGGTAGCTTTCAGTGGCAAATAAGAAATCAGTGGAAGAAGCCAAGTGGATATCAGGAAGGGCTAAATACGGCTTGACATTCTTGGGAGCTAAAATTTCAAGTGAGTACTTAACTGTGTCAGCCTCTGTCCCAGCACTTTATGTTTATGCAAGTAATCCTAGCAACCTTACTTGAGTACCTAGAGTATTGTCCCCATTATAGAGATGGGGAAACCAAAGTTCCCAAGAATTAAGTAATGTGCCCACAGTTACACAGATATTAAGTGACAAAGCTAGGGTTTGGGATCAGGCAGTCTCCACAGTTCAAGCTTTTAGCCCCTAGAGGAGAAGAAACAGCTTTGTGTTTGTCCAGTCTCCCTGATAACAATTGACACCTTCAGTCTCATTTTGAAGACTGTATGTACCATATGGCCACCCTTGACATTCATTTCATTTTTAATTCTGGCACTGCCAAAGGAGATGCCTTGGTTGGAAGAAATTTTGTCTTTTAATTTTCTCCTCTTAGATCAGAGTTGAGGTCAGTTCAGAATCTCAGTTGATGATGACACTAGCTGATCAACATGCTTTGCACTCCAGGTCTGTGGCATCACAAGGGACACCAGTTCCAGGAGAGGAAGTAGAGGGTGTGGGGATTTCCATGCACTTGTCATAACCCAGAGGAAGATTTCTATATTCGGAATGAGGGGAGGCCCAGACTGAACTCAAAGTAGAATCCTATAAGAAAAGCCTGGTCCTGACACTATAATCCAAAGGCAGAAAAGTGGGTGCCAGTCAAACAAGCAGAACCTGCCCATCATGCAGAGATAGTGCCCAGAAGGTTGAAGACCATCTTATTGTTTTGTTTTGTTTTTTCCCCTAACTGCAAAATGAGGTTAGGATGAGCAGTAATACTAGGGTACTTAAAAGAGGCCAAGGGGCTGGAAGTGTAAGAAAACCAGCAGCTTCCATGAAAGGACTTGTCCCAAAGGGTCATTTCTTATCAAGGGGTCATAGTCCTTGCAGTTTTCTTTTAAAGTTTTTCACTCCATGAGCTGACCTCTTCCCTAGACACACAGACCCCATTCTTGTCCCCTCACCCCAGTCCTTTCTAAGCCAACAGAGAAGTCAATAGAGAAGAATTCTAGTAACAGGAGCAAAGCTCCCTGGATAGTTCAGAGTCACCATATCCCTGTGTGCATTCCTGGTCTTCAGGGAACTTGTAGGCAAGGTGACCACTGGCTTCCACTTAGTAACATGGATGCTCATTTTTTTATACATGAAAACCTCAGGGTGGCCTCAGTAAACAATAAACAATAACTAGGCTGATTTATCAAAGCTCTTTAGACAAAGTGGAATGAATGTTTAGTAGAGGAGCAATGAATGGCTTATGCCTGAAGGCTGTCTTCAGAGGGAAGCATAAACTGCTCAGGGAAAAAATGGCAAGATCCAAACCTGTTTCACTAAAATAACCCCTAGGCCAGCCAGCTTACCCTTTGCACAGGGCAGACTGAGTGGGAATGGCAATGCATGAGAGGGAGAGCGCTGGTTTGTGTTCTTGTCATGCTGGCCTTCCCCTTAAATTATATATTTTTTGTTGTTATGCCTGCTAATTATACAGCATCAGCACATGCATTTGACTCAGCTATATAGGGCTCTTAAAGTTTTAATGTCTTCCAACCAGGAATTTAAGGGCCCTAATCCATCTATCCCTGTCTATTACTCAGAGTGCTGGGCAGATATGGTTTTGCTCAGCCCAAGATGGATGATAAAAGTTCTGTAGTGTTTATAAAACATGATCTCAGCTTCACAGAACAGCAGGAGTTATATATTGCATGCTCATTTAGTATTGATGTCCATGTTCCCAGGGCAATGTCATTAAGTGATGATATCTTTGTGACTTCCTTGTGGGAGGTAGAGAAACCAGTGTAATAGAGTAGTATTTCTAAACAGGGAGCTGGCAGAAAATAGAAACTTCTCCCATAGATGAGTGTTTGTGTTCACTCATATTCATTCTGTCTCTCATGCTTACCCCCTCCCTCCTGTCCTCCCTCTGTTCACCTCCTCTCCTTCCTACATGAGGGTTTGAATAATCACTCAGCCATTATTTTCATTTGAGAATATCTTCAATTCATTATTTTCATTTGAGAGTATCTTCAATTCTGAGACTATATGCTAAATGATAGGGTTTTGGTGAGACTATTCTTACTCCATAGCTGTAAGTGCATGTGGTAAAGAACATAGGTAGGCTCTGGTATCCCCAGTGTGGGTTTCAAACTCATTTCTGCGATGGATATGAGTGACCTGAGGCAAATTTCTTCACCATTCTAAGCCTCAATTTTGTCATCTGTAAAGTTGGGGGGGAAGGGGGAAGGGTAATAACAGCACCTCATAAAGTTGGTATGTGCATTGGGTGAGATCATAGATTTAAAGATCCTGGCATGTAGTAAATGCTTAGTAAATAGTAGCACTTCATTTAACAACTATTTATCGAGCACTGACCCTGTGTCCACCACTGTTAAAAGTGCTGCAGATTAAGTGGTAAAGGAAGAGAGGGTTCTCCTCCCATGAAGCTTAAAACAACAAGTAAACAAATAGGGATTTACTCATAACAGTAAGTGTTAATAACAATAATAAAAGACATGGTAGTGGATCATGTGATGGGGCTAATTTAAATGGCAGCCAAAGAGGGCCTCCTGAAATTTCATAATTAATAATCAATTATATCAATGCTACTGCTATCTGAGGACATCTTGGCACAAAATAGTGAGGAAAGGCTTCTCTGAATTATTCAGTTGTTAGTTGAGACTAGTCCCAACATACTAATTTGCAACTGAGAAATTAAAGGGCTACATTGCCAACAGGGATGAAAACTTCTAGTTGGAGGATGTATTTCCATGGAGGTAACTGACTCCAGCAGTGTGGGTTCACTGAGCTGCTAGTTGTTGTTTAATCCATTTCCATACCTGGACAACCCGAGGGAGGAGGGTAGCTCCCCTGCTCACTGACTGTTTGAAGCTAAGGGACCCGGTAGAAGTGAAACCGAACTAACTTTGGAAATGAAAACTTATTTTCCTTGAATGCCTGAGAAATGCAACCTTAGCTTTAAGTTGGAGGAACAAGGTATGGTTGTTCTGCTTCCTCTTGAAAGCTTTATCTGACTCTTGCACCCTAACTAGAACTTGGAGGACCCTGTGGCACCCAGCACATAGTCTTGAATCCTCTTCTGTTTGTGTCGGTATCTCCCATTAAATTGTGAGCTCACTGGCATCCTCACCTCTGGTATCTTTCACATGATTAATCCCCCGCTATACTGATGTTTAATGCTAGAATTTTTAATTCTTTGGACACCTTGGAAGAACCTTCTCCACTGTCTACCATGGGCATTTCAAGTTGTTATTGAAATAGAGATAACATTTTGTGAATACCCAGATTGTAAAGGACATCACCCATTCTTTAAATACTCTAATTTCTATTCAGTTTCACAACACCAGTCATGATGAGTAAATGTGGGTTGGAAGGGATATCAGGGTTGGGGGGATTCCTTTAGTGGGAATTACCCAAAGTGGGGATTCCATAGTAGAAGTCTAATAGGCAGCAGATAAATCTGTAGGAGGACTGAGCTGAATGGCAGAGGCAATCATTTCCCCTAAGAATGACAACACCCTGAAGAATCCCCCTCTTGCTGGAAGAGCTGGCCAAAGCGGCCATCTCTGTTGGTTGGATTGTTCAGAAGGTTTCACCTGTGTCCCAGCCTCACCTGCCACCAATCTGAGACTGGAATCAAGGCAATTAACTGCGGAAACCTTCCTGGGATGCATAAGCACTTAAGGTTCTGAAGCAAGTGGCCACTTTGATGCAAACCCTCAGGCGGGCCCTTGTCCCACCTCACCATCAGTCTCAGCTTTTGCCCAGTAGGAAGTGGATGCGTTAGCTTGTTTTCACCTCATGCAACTGATGTTTGTGCATATTGTAGGGTAAATGAAATGGTGAGGCTTTTACATGGCTATCACTTGTGGCATTGAATGCAGAAGGAACTTGGGGGCATGGGTTCAGAGCACAAATGCCTCATGGTGGACACCTGG